CTACAAATTAAAGGCAACTTGCTTTGGAAAGCAAAATTTTTTGAAAGTTAAATCTGAAGCAGATATGGATCTTCATTCCCTAGACATACCAGGCAATTTATCCTGTTGACTGTTCTGGTTTAAAGAATCGGCAACATCCTGTTTTTAGTGAGATAGCTTACAATAACCAAGTATAAAACGCAACACTCAATAGCATGACATGCACATAAAATGTTCCGTGATATAACTGTGAGTCTCACAATTACTTTTGGATTCTTCCACAGATGCTTATAGGAGCAGGATAATTTTTCCACTCAAAAGTGAATAATGAATGGGATTTATACACTTTACCTCAACTCTATCACCCATGATTATTACACATCTTGCTGCAGGAGTGCTGAAGGAAGGAGAGAAGGGACAAACTTGTGGATTCTTTAATCCTGTGCTACCTACCTGCTTGTACAGACCCCAGTGCAGACTTCCAGTGTATGAACCAGTTTGTCCTCAGACAAGAACAGAAACTAGACAGTGGCACTCTGAGTTTGAGACCTTCTTCCAGACACTATCTCAGCTGTGCTCTAACTGTTCTGTTGTCACAGCTACACATGGCATCACTCCCACTGGAGCAATAATTAGAGGATGAACCTGAGACCTTTTCTTGAAATAGATGCATCAAGCCATTCTCTTAAAGCTACACTGTGAAATTTCGCCTTGTAAGAGGGCTAGACTTGGGTTGCAAAGCACCTGAGAATGTTAGCAGGAGAGGAGGTGAGATGAATATTAGTTGTATGAATGCTTCATGTGATGTATCAGGTTAATCATTTGCCTCCGTTTGTCTGAGTCCAGTGTACCCAGTAGCAGGCAATCTGCGCCAGCAACCTTGAACTGTGTTATTTGTGATAAAAGCGCAGACCTTGTGAAGACAGAAACTCCACAGTCAGAATATTAAATTGGGCTTCACGGAGCGAGTGAGGAGAAACTATCGCTAAAGATACCATCTTGTGGTAGTAAGAGAGACAGCCCAACAGAGACAGCCCATTTAAATGGTGTGATACAAGCATCAATCCTATCGAATAGCTGATCATAAACTCCTTCTTTTCTAAGCAAAGGATGCCACCGTGGAGTAAGTCCTAGGCTCAGATCCCGCTCTGCACGCTGTGTTACCCAGGAGCTTCGGGGACGGGACATACTAGAAAAGTCACAGTTTTATATTGCACTCACCCCACCCAGCGGCCGGTCCGTGACATCCCTTTTCCAAAACACCTTCCCCCGTGAAAGGGTGATGAGATAGGAACGTGGACCTAGTCCTTACCCTGGGACCCCACCTAGATCTATCCGTAGCCACTTCCCACCTGCCTTTCCAGTACAGCAGGAAGCTTTGCCCTCTGCCTGGGCACTGATGTTCAGCATAGCACAGCACTTCTGCCTGCTCCCTGGAGTTCCCACAGCTTCAATCCAGGCAGAGAGTCACTGGCAGTATAGCCAGGTGGAGAGATCCCAGCTGGGATCTACATCCTGTGGTGGGACCTGGTCAGTTTGCAGTTTATCACAGTGCTTGTTACAAGAGGTGATCGAGCTCCTGCTGTGAAATTTTCTTAGTTCCTTTCCCTCATTCATAGCAACACCACAAACAGAGAAGTCAAAGTAAATAAGATCATCATAAAAGTAATTACTTTTTCTCTGTAAATATATAACTAGTAAGTGTAAAGGTACTGAGGAAAAGTCCCTAGAAGCAAGAAAAACACTGCAAAACCAGTGCCTCAAACAATTCTTACAGGCAAAACCTACTGTGCTGTGCTCAGAGTAGAACAGTTTTCATTTCTTAATTATTCCTTATGACTGACCAGAAAGACCATTGCTCCAGGAGTACCTGTGTGCCAGAGTTTATTTCAAAAGCCCCAAAGACAAGAGACATCAGTTGCTAGATGGACCAAAAGAAGCCTGCCACAAGAGTGACCATCTTAAACTTAGTGATGGGCATTTTAATGGAAGATACTCATACCATTGAAGGGCAGTGCTTACCTTTCAGCCCTCATTCTCTACAGTCCTCTTTACCACCTATTCCCGTGACTGCATTTGTGAGAGCCAGTGCATCCACTGATGACAAATGTACTTGAAGAAGCCAGTTTTGTAGACATACTATACTATTGGTGCCTAAAGAGTTCTCTGCATTTTTCAAATGGGACATGAACTTGACAAGAAGAGAAGCCCCACTCCATGAGCTCCCCAGTTCAAGCTAGTTGGTTAATTGAGCATCTCACTGCCAGGAACTTCTGGCCACATGACAACAAACCCCCTACCAGCCCAGCTGACACTCACAGAATTGAGTGGCACCTATAATAGAACCAAGATGGAGATTTAATAGATCCTCTTTACTTTTGATTAGTGTCCTTTTCCCTTTCATAGATTAATCCTCAACTACTTAATATTCTGTGTTTGTTGCTAGTACTGGAGAGGCGCATCTTATTTAAGAAATATGAGAAGTTTAGTTATTTGAATGAGGAACTTCTAGAAATAGCAAGCAGTGGTATGGCTAGAATATCCATTGCACAACCATACAGGAAGTCTGGTTCTCCAGTGGCTTTTGAACTGAGATGGAGATGCAGATGGAGAGCTTTAGAAAGGGAGAAGAATATTATATAGGACTACAGGAGTCATGACAAGAATTGGTGAAACAAGGATGTCTTTTGAAATGTATCCTACTGTACTCCCACTTTCCAAATTAGCTTCACAGCTGCTATAACCTGTTATATCTAGATGTATAAGTAACATATTTTTCAGGTAAAGAGATCATTGTTGCTCTTGGTTTCCTACATAACAGAGGCTGTTATGTAGGAAATGTTTCACATTTTGTTTCTGCACCAAGCCTATGAATTGAACCAAAGCTTTTTTAAAAAAAAAAAAATTAAAATGCAGATTTGATTTAAAGATCATAGTTGAGAAAGTAAACATTTATTCTGTGATTTTTATCATTTAGTCTGTATTGATTTATTTAATGTCATAATGTAAAATGAAAACGTGTAAATCAGACTTCATCTAATAATAAATCAAAACTTTTATCATTATTTGAAATCTGCAATGCACTCAGAACACCAGTGTCACGCTTGTCTGACAAAATGAATTCTTCATAAAAACATGCTATTTGACATTTACTATCCAACTGCCCTCCATTGACTATAACCAGTATTAATGATACCAGTGTCAATCAAGTATTTATGATACTGACATGATAGCCACTTTTGCTTCTGTTCCTCTGGCACTTCTTCAGTATTCCTAAATTTATGAAAAATATACATTAATAGAGTTCCTGTTCCCTTTTAGCAAGCAAAACTCTCTGTCCTCTCTAGTGGCAAATTATTTAACACCAAGTGGTGGTCTTTAAACTTAGCTTTTTGCACCTGCTGGAACCAGAAGTCATTAATTTGTCTGTAGCATGTAATTATCGCTGCCATATCTTTGCTACTTCTTCCTTTTCTGCATACCTGTAGGTAAATAAACACCTTTCCAGCAAAGGAACCTTAACTTTTTTCTTTTCCAGTGTGTTTACAGAAGCAAAATTTTTCTTACTGACTGCTACCCTGCTGACAGTGGAGCTTCATTGATAACCAATAGTTTGCTTTACTGATTGCCAAACAAACTAATTAAATTAGATGGATGGTACTGGATGGTAACTTAAAAATAATAAGACTCTTACCGATCAAGTACATTTTGGTTGCCATTTTGCTAACCTGTCAGGTGTAAGAGTATATAAACAAGCAGCTACAAAGTAGAGTGAAGTGTAAATGTGCAGCAAATCAGCCACTCTGCAGATAGTGTGCCTGTTCTCAGAATATCTTTATTAGCTTGTGTTTGTTATCGGGTAACAGCATGCACAGGCTCTCTCTGCTGAGCAGCAGAGTAATGTGTTCAGGTACCCATTCCCTCAGGATTTTGGTATTTTTTATTACAGGCACTCCACCATTTTGAGCAGACACCTGAAGTGAAAGACAACACAGATGCAAACCCAACGGTGCTCAGGGTGCGTGGGTGCTTGGATCCATCTCTCCACCTTCTGCTGGCCCTCCCTGCACCCTAGCACCAAGAAAAAAAACAAAGAATTAATTAGAGGCATAAAAATCCCCACCACACCACAAAAAAACCAACTAAAAATAAATAATGTAGGCCTTATGTTTTCCTTCCTTTCCTGCTGTCAGGCAGGTTTTGCACCAGCAGGTGCTACAGGGAGCTGGATACAGCACCAGGGGTCTGCGAGAAGCTCAGCACAGGGAGCCCTTTCTGCAAATTGAAGTATCTTCACCATGTTTGGGGTTTTGCCCTCACCTCGAGGTCTTATTTCACACTGGGGCATTGACCCACCAGCTGCTTTTGGAACTGGGCACCACCAGCCCCCTGACCTGGCAGCTCTCCGGGAAGTGCTTCCTGCATCAGCCCTTGAGGGGAGCAGCAGGAGGAGTGGACCAGGAGGGAGCCACCATCCTCCTGCCCAGGCCCAACATCGAGGCTTCTCTCAAACACTTTCCCCACTGTGTTAACACCGGAGCTGAGGGAAGCGCCCAGGAGGCTGGTTCCCCTCAGGCTGCACTCCCACCCCACTGCTGTGGGGCAGAGTTTTCTTCACTTGGGTGGCAAGGCAAAGGGTCCTCCTCCCTGCCCTCCATCCCCTGGGGACTGTATCTGCCATGCAGGATATGCACAGCTCAAATTTACTATGTGGTGGGATGAGGGATGGGGCAGTGATAATGCTGGGGCAGCCTGCAGGTTGAAGAGTATGCTCCCAATGGAGTGGTTGTCTAGGTGGCAATTCCTGCTGTTCTGAAGTCTCCTTCAGGGTTCATTCACAGTTGGTCTCCAGACGGAAGAAGAGCAGGAGCTGTGCATGGCCATTTTCAAGGCAGGGAGGGGATCTCCCCACCAACATCCCCAAAGGCGAGGAATATATCAGGGTGATTCAGTACATTTGTAACATAAAGCCAACAAAGTCACTTCTCTGTTGAGTTTGCAGGCAAGTCCAGGATATCATTAGTCATCAGAGATTAAGGATGGGAACAATTCTAAATCCCTGTGTGAAGATTTAGACTCACAGGTGTTGCCCTCTGAGTCCAACCTTAAACTAGCCTTTAGTAAAGGCTCACAGTCTTTAAGTCCTTATGTTGCTTTCTTGCTGAGCACTCCTGCTGGCTTCATTAAGATGAGAAGGTAAATAATGGGAATGAAGATGAAGGTCCCCTGGCAGACAATCCTGAGAACGTGAAACAATATGAGACATTGCCAGAGGCATCTGAAGATAATGCTTTCCAGAAACGTAGCAAGGTAGAGACCTATAAGAACCAGCACATGCCAGAGATGCACCAGAGAGCTCTCTGGGGAGAGACAAGATGATGGTATTCATCTAGAACAGGCTCTTGAGGGCCTCAGTGTCATCCTTCTCCACCCAGAAGATGCTATAGGTGACAATCACTCTGGATACATGAGTCAGACATCAAATCTTCATCAGTGTGAGGTATCCCAGACAGAGAAACCCCACAACTGCCCCAAATGTAACAAGGGTGTCAGGCAGAGCTCTGATTTGATTAAACATCAGAGAACTCACACAGGTGAGAAGCCCTTCATGTGCAGCGAGTAGTTAGCTCCCACTGGACTCCCACAGAAAAATACACACAGGAGAAAAACCCTACTCTTGTCTTGAATGTGGGAAAAGCTTCAGGTGAAACTCTCACTTGGGGAATCACCTAAAAAACTCACAGTGGTGAGACTTTCTTCAAATACATGCAATGTGGAAAAGGCTTCAGGGGTTTCTCAGCACTCACTCAGCATCACGAAACCCACACGGCTGAGAAGCCCTGTGTGTGTTCCCAATGTGGGAAGTGCTTCAAACAAAGCACTTACCCCAACAGACACCAGTGAGTTCACACAGGAGAAAACCTCTTTATGTGTGCTGAGTGTGGGAAGTGTTTCGAAAACAAGACACACCTCAAATAGAACTGTAAATTTCACCTGAAATGGTCAGCAGGACAGCATTTCTCGTGAGTCTATGAGCATTGGTGCATCACCTTTAAAAAAACCCCTCAATTATAAATTCTATGCTGTGAATAAAAGAAGGAAGAAATCACAAAGGCGAGAAGAAGGTTTCTGTCATAGTATGAATACCTTGCTGATGAGGTGGGAGGGGGTGTTAGAGAAGAAACGCAAGTGGGGAATAAGCACCCTGTCAGCAGGAGTGGCTTGTCATGGGGATTGAAGGAAGGGATGTTGTATCAAGAAATAGGAAAGAAGCTCAGCAAAGAAGGAATTTAGCATTTATAAATCTGATTGTTGGGCGCAAGGCTCTTGGAGATGTTAAAAGGTCCCACTGTCTTACTGAGAAGGCAAAAATGGCAATGGGAGCTTGCAATTGGGAAAGAAGTCACTAAACTGCAGAAGAAAAATTGTCCTCTATTCTCTCTGACAGTATCTGTGGATATTTTAGGACTTCTGTTAAACCTGGGGAAAGATGTCCCAGTTTTCTAGTATATGTTGTAATATTCCAGCTCTTTGATGTGCTAAGTGCCTTCCCCTATTAAATAGCAGCTTTGCTTCTGTTGTTCTCTCCCTTCCTTTCCTGCTCTATTTCCATGTGCCTGAATTGCCCTTTCTACTCCTACTTCAGTGACAGACACGTGGCTGCACCCCTCACTTTGGTCTCACTGAACATTAGGATGAAATATAATTAGCCTAGGAAAATGATGGATGTTACTGTGTTAAACACCTTTTTGCTTTTCTAAGCAGTGTTTGATAACCACCTTCAGCAGCGTTTTGTCTTATAAATCCTGAGAGCCTTATTCAACCCTGGAGGCAACTGTGTATATGTAAATACATGGACCTGACCTGTAGCTTTACTAGTAGCACTCAGAGGGCTGTGAATTCTGTGTACTTGGGAGTGTTTTGGAGGCTTGTGGCCAGGTCAGAGCCTTCTTCCCAGAAACAGAGTGAAAGCTGGCAACTGGAAAGGAACAGAGTATGAGTGGTGGTGACTGGAGGCCCATAGACTGCAAACAGAGAGGCCCAGAGGGGAATGAAAATGGAAATAGGAAGAGTTCTGGAGGGGAGCAGAGTATGTACAGAGGTGAACGGAAAGGAGGAAAGGTGAGAAAAGGAGGCTTTTGGTGAGAAAAGGAGGCAATGAAGTGCGCTCTTGGCAGGATTGCAGATGACACCAAAGTGGGGGAAACAGCTGACAGGCTTGAAGGCAAAGCTGTCTTTCAGAGCTACAATGTGGGCTGGAGGAATAGGCCCACAAAAACCTGACAGAATTCACCAGGGACCAATGCAAAGTTGTGTGCTGGAGCTGGGGCTGACTGGCTGGGGGAAGCTCTGCTGAAAAAATCTGGAAGTCTTGGTAGACATCAAGCTGGATGTGAGGGATCACTGTGCTTCAGCAGTAAAGGTGGTGGGACAGTATCCTAAGCTATGTCAACGGCAGCATAGCCAGCAAGTAGATGGAGGGCAGTGATTATCCCCCTCTACTTAGCAACAGTTTGACATAATACAATGGAGGGAAACAGAGCGGGCTCAACGGAGATTGGAGGGGAAAAAGTACACGAGAGGAGTGGAGCGAAACAGGGTGTGCATAGCGGGTTAGTTCTATTTTGCTGAGTGTTTACAAGGCCTTCAATGGAAGACTGGAAAACTTATCTCTGTGTCCTCAGAATATGACTGGAAGTTCTGGTGTCTGGTATTGTATTACTTCAGATTTTACACAGTTAACCAAAGATGTTACTAAACCAAATAGTAATATTTGCACTGGGACTATCCAATGTCTAGGACACTGAATAATTGAACTCAGCACAGACTTTAAGTTGTCAGCATCTCTGGAATTGTGATTTATTTACATTAGTACTGAGTCGGGTAAAATGTTTCTGTTCACACCATCCTGAACAGAACAGAGAAATTCCCATCTCTTAGAGTTGTTTTCAACAAGTGGGACATACACTGAAGAAACAAACACTGGATGACATCTGCTTGTTCAGACAAGATCTGCATTTTTGGCCTGAAAGTCAAGTTACACATTCTGCAGAAATTCATATGGCCATCAGAGTAGAATGGGAACAGCACATGTGCACCTCTCTGCTAAGGTTAGCCTTTGTTCCCAGCTGAAACCTGGTAATTGCATGGTTTTTTTCAGCACTGTTTACTTTTTCACAGTGTTCACAAATACTTTGACTCTGCAAAGGACCAAGGCTGTCCTGTAGTATTTTTTCTCCCTTTCATTTTCTTGAAGTTGTTTGCTGGACACCCGTCAGATTTATTGCAAAATTTGTAACTAGGAAAATGAGAATTTACAAGGAAGTATTATCCCGACCAAACCTCCCCCTTCTCTCCCTCCACATACTGTCCTTACTGAAACTGTATTGCACTTTTGGCCTCACAATGCATACAGGGCTCAAAGTTTGACTGTCAGGTGAATGGCACAACACTTAAAAATTTGTAACAGCTTTTGCAATCAGGTGGCTTCTGCCTGCTGCATGTTTGGTAAGGCTGGCAAGCGGCGCTGAGTGAATAGGGTGTAGCTGAGTGGCACATATTTGTAAAGAGAAATCATAGTTCTAGGAAAAGTTGTGCTTTGGTGGAAAAGGTAGCTTGGAGTGAAAGAAGGGTTGATGTGTTCATACCGTGGGTTTTGTGGAATCTTACAAAAGTAAATCTTTGTGCTGCAAAGATGTAGAAGTGTGTGTGGACTATACAGTAAAGTTACCCTCATCAGCCTGTATTTGATAAGCAAACAAACATTTCACTTTTATTTATTCTGAGGTTGGGGGTGGGAGTGGGGCAGTGGGCTGTTACACAAAGTATTCTTTTAAATGCTTTGTAGTCCTCTGCTGCTGCTACTGCTTCCACAGCTCTCCTCTAGCTCAAGGCCCTACTTGTTTAGCTGGGTTTCAGCTTCTCTTTAGGCTTAGGCAGCACTGCTTTGCAAGTACAGCCTTCGCTGGGGGATCACAGAGGCAATCCACTCACCAGTACACTGCTTGGCCTCTTCCCACGTGTAGCGGGGCACATAGCCAAAATCCTTTTGTGCTTTTCTATAAGAAAAGGTGAATGGAGTATTCAGGAGGGTGACCAGGTGACGGTTGGTGGAGGGGATGTATCTGACAAAGGGCCGGAGCAAGAAGCTCACGATCTCCAGCAGCAGTGAGAAGTAATACAACATTGTCAGAGGCATGGGGAGCTTGGGCTCGATTCCAAACCCCAGGTCCTTGGTCAGCTCGTAATTTAGATCTGCGTAGCTCATGTGAGGAGTGTCATCTGAGATGTAGTAGAACTTCCCCCTGATATGCTTGGCTTTCTGCGGGACTCTCAGGGCTTTGGCCGCCTGCACGTGTGCCCAGGCGATATTCCCCACGTACACAGGGTTCACCAAAGCCTCCTTCCTGGAGAAGCGCAGGTAGACATTTTGGTTCAACAGGCACTTATCCAGATGACCTTGAAGAAACGGACATCCTTCTCCAAAAATGTACATGGATCTCAGGGCACAAGTCATCAGTGTGCCGCCATCCTTTAGCACCTGGCCATCTGCTTTCAGCACAGAATCCTCTGCCAGTCTCTTACTTTGGGCGTAAGGAAATTTCGATATGCTCTCATAAGCTGTATCCTCGTCACCATTGAAAATTGGGTCACCTCTGCAGTTTGGGCCTGTCACTTCTATGGTACTGGTGTATATGAAGTGCTGGACGTTACAGCGGACACACGCCTCCAGCAGTAGCTGAGTACCTTCAAAAGTGAAACATGCAAGTCAATCTAGAGCTCCCAAAGTAGGAAAAAGAGGGCTTTTTAGATCAGAAACAACATCTCTGGCCTGAGCTTGGTCAGATCTCCTCTCTCTGCGGCTTGAAGAATCCTGTCCTGAACTGAGAAGTACGTTAAATGAAACCAAACCTGTTTAGATTATATTTCATTAGTTTCTTTATTCCCTTCCTTTTAAAAATTTGCTTCCCTACCTTCCTAAAAAGATATTTTTGCACTGAGGCATTGTGTGGCATGTGACAGAGAGGAAAGCCCTGCATCAGGCCGAGTTTAACTTGTTCGCTTCTGTTCTGCTTTGTGAACATCCATGTCTGATTTCTTGAAACATTTGTATTATAAAAGCTCTTTTTTCTAGGAGAAACAAAACTTTCGTCCTGCAAGCCTATGAAGTACATAGCAGTCTTGGCTGGTCAAAAGCCAGAAGAGCATCAGAGTGAAAGTGGAGGGAAACAGGGAAAAGAGGACAGAAGTATTTACTGACTGAGGTTAGGATCAGTTTGCTCTGGGAGAAGGACTGGTGCGTGCTTTCATTCTAGCAAATGTTATCAGTAACCCTCACTGATCCAGTGGGCTTTTTTCACCCATGGGCAGACACTGTTGGCACCGGGGTAGGGAAGGGGGGGGGGGGGTCAGAGCTTACAAAGCTTTCTGGTTTGGGGACATTTTAATATTTGTTTGATTTTTTGTTGGGGTTTTTTATTATTATTTTTCCCCAGGGATTTAGGCAACACATTCTGCTGTGAAAAAAGTGATTGCAGCAGCAGTAGAGTAATAAAGACAGAGCTTTACAAATCCTCTTTCTGAACTACAAACCCTGTATATTTTCAAACTACCCAATGCACAGGTTTCCAGGAACTTGGCTCTCTGCTCTTCCTCCTGGCAGGGACCTAAGAGGCTGCCCACTGGTCTCTAATTTGTGGTAACTGACAATTTGTGGGTTTGACTGAGCAGAAATGAAAGGTACTGGCAATAAGTCAGGCTAAAACAAGTAAAATGCCATCCCACTCTTTTTAAGG